GGTTGTCTGTCTGAATCTCTACATTAGAAAGGTGCAATTGCTCACATCTCCTTAGTCCAAAAAGAATTCCAGCAATTTCCGTATTGAAATTATCACCTCCTCCAAGATATCCACCTTCACCATAGATAAAGGAACCACCTTCACCTCTTATTACAAACCCATAACCTGCCTCACCGAGACTTGATGAACCATCAGTACTAAGAATGTAAGAATTAAGAGGGGGTGGCTCCCATTTAACTTGCAAGACGTGAGGTCGGCCAACTCGCCTAAGGATTACATGAAAGTCATTTAGGAAAAAAACATCCTCCTCTTTATTCCAAATTTTAAGATCATGTATCATCATCAAACAACGTAACTGTTTCGTAATTGTAATACCCGGAAATTTTTCAAAAATTATACAGTGAATAATTTAAAATCAAAAGTAAATGAAACGGGTTTGAATTATTTAGTGAGTTTTATTCATCATTATTACACTAGGCACAACACGTACAAGAATAATTTAGTAAACCAAAGCATGAGTTAAAAAAGATTACCGATGAGACGTTACATCCATATAAAATTTTATTATAGTAATTAATAACAAACTAAATCTACAAAATATAAACTAAAGCCACGAGTTAAATTTATTGGGGACAACGTATCAAGGTAACATGGCCAATATGTTGCTACTTTATGCTCAAGTAATTAGAGTTGGGTGATAGTGTAGGAAAAAGAGGGGAAAACTAAACAAATACTAAAAAAAATAAAATAAAATCTTTATGGAAAATAAAAGAAAGGAAACAATGAAATACTTGGGCACTAAGTTTGAGCATCAAACGTAATTATGGCTGCAACTTTTACTTGGGATTGGTCACCCAAATATTCAAGTTTGCCAAGCATTAAAATAAAATATAAAAATGAAAATTTGCTGCCAAAACTTCAAGGTAAAGTAAACCTTAGTATTAGTTCTATTTCAATGCTCAAACCTTCAAGTTCATCAAATATTCTTCCCTTCCCCTACATCAGCCGAAATCCAAGTCCAGACACTACCAATATACCCTCAAGTCATTTTCAAACCCTTCCCAAATTTAAAGTTTGAGTAAGAAGTGAATTAAACTCAAGAGAGAAGGAGGTAAGCAACATAGGAGAATAAAGGAGGAGGGGAGGTAAGATAATTTTTCCAGGAGTAGTTCAAGGCTCGAGAGACTCTTAGGAAAAGCTTGAGAAGGATCCAAAAGCATCATAGTTGTTGATCATCGTCCAAAAAGGTAACTCTTTGAGTCTTGCTTAGTTAAAGTTGAATTTAGAGTTTTAAATTTGAAGGTCAGAGGTAAAAGCAAAATAAAAATTTTAAACTTTTAATATCAGTTCCACACTGTGTTTACATAAATCTGTAAAAATTTCAGAATTGTTAAATTCAGTTTCTGAGGTCATTATTTTTCTTAAACAGAATAGTTTGTAAAATTTATAATAAATTTTATGCTTGTCTAAAATTCCTGTAAATTTCACATTTGTTTTTTAACAAACTAAGGTACTCAAATATCAAATATAAACTATTTTAGAAAATTACAATAAGAGTTATGGATTTTATAATCTCTACCAAGTTTTGAATACAAAGTGTCAAAACTATCTAGTTTCATCAATTTTTTCTCTACGAACAAAACTTTCATTTCTACAATTTTATATCCAAATGAACCTCTTGAAGTATTCTATCAGATATAAAAATTACAAAATTTTTCCTATTACAGATGGTTAATTTTTCAAGGAATTTTTTGACTACTCTATTCTACAGATTCTAAGGAACGGCTGGTTTTAATTAAACTGTGTGAGAAAATTATTTTAAGAAATATTATGGATCTTTTCAGAAACTGATCTCAAAGTGGCTTGTGGTTTGAAATGTATTTTTGGGAGTTATTTTTTATGTATATTGTTATGAAAGATTTAACTAATAAATTTTAAGGAATGCCTTGACTAAAGAGTTATGGTTTTAATAGGGATCGTTTGTACCCTCCAATATTTAAAGGGGACTGTTTATAATGTAGTCATAGTATACCATTAACAAGACATCGGAATGTAATATTCAATAAGAAAATGGTTTACAATAAGGCAATAATAATAGTTTAAGCACACATAAAGTAGTATTAAGGAAATCTTGTATATGGTGTTAGATGAAGAGAAAGGTCTTGAATTGCTCGAATAAGATGTTGCTTAAGCTAGGAAGGTGCGTTCACTCGCACGATGTACATACTCGTTTAAGTGCTTATGTGAACTAAATTTTTATTTTATTGTTGTGTTTGAAAAGTAATAAATGTTTCTTATGATTTATGACAAATGTTTTGAAATTGAGACTATATGCACGTACGATATTGTGATAGTGATCACAAATAATAAAGGGGGACGAAAAAGCTGGAAAGCCTAAATCCTCACGTGAATATAAAAGTGGACGAAAAAGCTGGAAAGCATAAGTCCAAAGATAATGAAAGGCGAGATTAGCCTTAAGTTAAAAGTGCCCCGAATTTCGAAGGGCTTGTATCCAAAACTGTGCACAGATTATCATGTTAAAGTATATGGCTATGTCTCACTTTCGTCAAAGCTGACGTTTATTGGAACGTCTTAGTTTCGTCATGTGAAAGTGAATGTTTTTACAAAAGTGAATGCTTGGTGGAATGAAATGCCATTTTACGAAGTATATTAGGAAATGATATTTGAAATAATCATGATGTTATGAAATATATTTTTTAGTTTATGTGAGTATTTGAACTTGTATGTACTGACCCCCCAATAGATAATTCAAGTGACACTGACGATGGTTGCAACTATGGGAGTATGATGGGGAAGAATGGTAGCTTATCACAGCATTTGAGAAAGAAAGAAAACTCCGTGAAGTTTTAGAATTATTTAGCTTCCGTTGCAAGTTACTTTTGATAAATAAGATGTAAGCCTTTTGGCAAAACTAATATATTAGACATTTAAGAACAAGTATGTGGCTTTACACGTATGACCTTGAACAATGTTTACTGTTGTAATTGTGGCGTGTCAACTAGGCCTCATTTCGGGTCGTGAATGTAATGGCATGTATAATGCTGTCATTATTCGGTTGAACTTCTTCAAAAAAAGACTTTATTCATGAGCTTCCACAATTCCCAAATGATAATGGGTGTTTAGGGTTTTGTTGAGATCGATAATATATAGGATAAAAATTCCACGACTTGAGTTTTTAAAAAATCGATGAAAAAGTAAAAAGAATAAAAATAAAGTTTGAATGTTAAAAAAATAATGCTTTGTTTATTTAATATTATTTTATTATTTCGCAATTTTAATTTTATATTAATTTAATATATTTTATTCAATTTTAATTTTTTTGAAAAATAAATATTTTTTATTTAAAAAATCCCCTTGTTGACTTGAATACAAATATAGTGAAATTGTTAGAATAGTGTCAAAGGACAAAAAAAGTTACAAATAAAAATACAGAAGACTTTTTAGCCAAATGTTAATTTAGATGACCAAAATGTTCGTGTAACATAATGCAAAGGAATATTTTCAGCTAGTACCAAATTTTTTCTGTTTAATCAAGTGGATTTAGGTATATTTAGTTATGATACATGCTCATTTTAATTCTACAATTGTTAATTAGCCTAATTAATCATACAGTTATTATCAAAAAACTGAACCGTCCCGTAAAGAGACTCTAGCTGCTCCTCTCTCTCTCTCTCTCTCTCTCTCTCTCTCTCTCTCTCTCTCTCTCTCTCTCTCTCTCTCTCTCTCTCTCTCTATATATATATATATATATATATATATATCTAAAGTCAACACAACAACTCTAAGAGTTTCCACACTTTCAATCAAGATCAATATATTGTTTTACGTTAATTCATGCGGCAAAATTTAACAATGCCTCTTCCAAGCTTCTTTCCTTTTTAGTTTTGTTCAAATCAGGATTCATAAAAATTATTATACATTAGAAATGATTGAATGAATCAATCATTCTAGAAAAATTTGACGAGATATTTTTTTTCCAATTTTTTATAGGGGTAATACACAAGAATCCATTGATGCTTTGAGAAACCACACGATAACTCTCTATGGTTTAGAAACTACACAAAAATCCCCTCATGGTTTGCCTAAACGTGTAAAGTGACATAAAACAGTAACATTAAAGGTTGATTGCAGATCACGCGCGTCTAGAGGAAGATATTCTCTTTTTCGGGTTTAAACTTTTGAGTACCAAAACTACCCATCATGTTATCTTCTTTCCCACATTTTTTTTTTTAATTAAAAAAATGTTCAGTCTTTTTAATTCTTCTGTTCTTATTTTTCACGTTTGGGCAAACCGTGAGGGGATTCTTGTGTAGTTTCTAAACCAAAGGGGGTTGTCGTGTGATTTCTCAAAGCATGAGGGGGTTCTTGTGTATTACTCTTTTAAAATTATGGCAATGATTATTAAAAGTGCTAATGCTATTCATGTCATTCAACTACTTTTTTATTTATGTTACTCCGTTTTTTAATCCTATAATGGTTTTCATGTCATCCAACTACTCCTATTATTGAATATGTTCAGTAAACTTGATCACAGAGACATTAATTATATTCCGTCTGTCCCATAAAAATAATTGACATTGATCTTTTAAAATTGTACTAAATGAGTATAGATCTCAAAACTCAATATAGACTTTTTTTTTGGGAGGGGGGCAAAGTTAGTATTATATGTACTCTTTATGTCCCAAATTTATTGTTCAGTTTGTATTTTCATTTCTAAGCACAAATTGAACTAAAAGTGAAAATGCAAACTAGATAATAATTTTGGGACATAGATAGCATATAAAAGCAGCATTGAAAATCTTACTACACAATCATTTTTGGACAAACGTAGCATATAAAAGTGGTATTGGAAGTTAGTGAAATTAATAGATCTTTATTAGCCGACTAATATTACTTTAATCCACAACAACTCTTGGATTCACAATCAAACTGGTTAAGTAGAACATTTGATGCTATAAATAGAGGTACCACCACAAACTTTCCAACTCGCCAATGAATTGAGAGTACTGATCGCAAGGGTGATCAAGATTTAAAAAAAAAAAAAAAGAAAAGAAAAGAAAAAAAGGAATACTATTTTTGTGTTAACATTTTCTGATTTTCAACTTGAGTTTGTCCAAGATCCATAACCTCCCAACTGATCAACAACAAACATTGTTGTCTCTATACTGGGAATGTGGGTCGATACTTGAATCTACTTTCCATGCTGCTCTCGAGCTTAATTTGTTTGAGATAATTTCGAAAGGCAGCGCCACCGCTAGTTCTGGCGCTGATGATGATGCTGACCATCAGCTCTCACCAGCAGAGATTGCATCTCATCCGGAGATAATCGACAGAATGTTTCTTCTTCTAGCTAGCCATTCTGTAGTGAAGTGCACTGTTGTTTATGATGACAACAAAGGGGTGAAAAGATTATATGGTTTGACTCCCTTGTCAAGGTGCTTTTTACCTGATGAACATGGAAACTCAAGAGCTCCACCTTTGGCATTTCTCCGCCACAGTGCTTATATCCATACTTGGTACAACAATAATTAACCTCCCCCCTCTTCCCCACTTCTTCTTCTGCTTCATCTTCTTCATCTTCTCCAAGTTTGGTATGTCAGATCATGCAACGATAAAACTCTTTTATATCATGACCTAAACTTATATGACTTTTATATATAATCATCCTGCGCGGTTTAATATTGTTCACGTTCTTTCTTAACATATGTATTCATGCGTAAATTGTGCAGGAAAAAATTGAAAGATGCGGTGCTAGAAGGAGGAAGTCCATTTGAGAGGGCAAATAATGGTTTGAATTTATTTGAATACGGTGCTGAAGACCCGAGGTTTGGAATGATATTTGACGAGGCAATGCAGTCAACGTCAACTAATTTCATGATAGAAATTCTTCAATCCTACAAGGGATTTGAGAATGTAAAAGTATTAGTTGTCGGTGGTGGATTTGGGGCTACACTTGATATGATTATTTCCAAATATCCTTCCATCAAAGGAATCAACTTTGACGTGCCTCATGTACTCAAAAGCGCTCCCACTCGGCCAGGTATATCTTTATATCTATCTATCAATCATCACAATCGCGGACTTATAAATTCCAAATAGGAAAAACTAAATGATACTACTCCTTCTGTCCCGAAATTATTGTCCAATATAAGTTTTCATTTTTAGTTCAAATTATACTAAAAGTGAAAATCCAAAATAGATAATAATTTTGGGACAGAGGGAGTATTTTTTTTCCCTATAGCAGAGGCAAAATAATGAAACACATCCCACTTTGACATCTAAACCTCTATCCAGTTCTCTAATTTGGTCAATATGTTTTCCGGCAGGCATTGAACACGTGGAGGGCAATATGTTTGAATGGGTTCCAAAGGGAGATGCGATGGTAATCAAGGTATACTTATTAGTTGGCAAGAGATCTTCTTTGATACTTTTAAATTACTCCTCTGGTCCTTATTATAAGACATTTTGATTTGTTCTAGGTTTGTCCTAAATTTTACTTAGGGTATTTTTTTAATGAATAAAAATCTTAAAAATATTTCTTAATAATTACAATAACATAGCGAATATGAAAATATATTTTTAAGGTTTTTTTTTTCAATTAAAAACATCTTAGGTGAAACCTAAGATAAAATCAAAATACCTTATAATAAGGACCGGAGTGAGTATTATATTTAGGCTTACGTTATTTAAATATAGAGAATTCGTGTGTAATCTCGAAGAGATTTATTTATCAATTGGTTGGAGTATAGTTCTAATTCTTAGTGGTAATTAATGATGTTATTAACCTCGTCTCTAAATTTTTTTTTTTTTAAAAAAAAACACTTTTTGGCCGCTTATATTAAATATTGAATTGTTGGTGTAGCGAGTACTTCATGACTGGTCAGATGAGATTGCCACAAAGATACTAAAAAATTGCTTCCAAGCGTTACCGGACTCTGGCAAAGTGATAGTCATTGAAGTTATTGTTCCTGAATCCCCAGAGGGACTTAGTTCTTTGTCACGACTTGCTTTAACTCATGATATGAAGATATTTTCATTCACACCAAATGGAAAAGCCAGGACTGAGAAACAGTTCGATGATCTTGCTAAGTCGGCTGGTTTTGCGGCTTCGAAAGTTGCTTGTCGTACCTTGGAATATTGTGTCCTTGAACTTTACAAAACCTAGCCTTAATTTCCCCAAGTTATTTCTAGTACTATAAAATGTTTAGCCCAAAGAGCGTACAATTATAATTCTTTTGGGCATTCATTTGAATTTTAGTTCATAAGTGTGAGGAGCGCTCCTACAATACGCTCTTCTGAAAATAAGAGTCAACAGACCATTTGGATTATTGTAATAATTTGTATTATGTTTGATTGTATGTTTTATGTTTTTATGCAGTTCAACCACAATTTTACTCCTTGCAGTACAAGATTATTTAATTTAACTGCACACCCTAGCTAGTAGGGAATGACCATTCCCTCTTTTCCGAAATAGTTTTTTAGTTAGATTTTTTACTTATGTGCATTTTGAATTTATACTAAACATGAAAATACAAACTGAATAATAATTTTAACTAGGGAAAGTATCATTAATTTTTTGGATCATTATTTGTAACACCCCAAATAGAATCCCCTTTTCTGTACAAAAGGAGTCACAGCCGAATAATCCGCCAAGCTCTCGCTAGGTCTCAGTACACTACTACAAGAAGAACAGATTTCCTGACATTTAAAAGTGTAGTAATATATGCCCTATGAAGACACTCGAGTCTATCCCCATGGCTTTTCCTAATGTGGTCTATACTAATGTGTTAATAGACTTATCCTTTTACGAGACATCTTTTATATGTCATAATAGAGTAGCCAAAAAGTCATGTAGATTATTAGTCAGAAGATATTATGACAATATGAAATGCCTTAATAAGTCATCTTTCTAAAAAAAACAGAGCATTTTAATTAATTTAATTTAATTTATCATTAAACAATATAAAAGTACAATATCACTAAATAAAAAACGGAATCCGTTCATTACATTCTAAAATTTCATATATGCTAGAAAATTCTACGACATCCTGAAGTTACTATACTAACTATACTACTAACTAATCCTCATCATAAATTGATTCTACTATCTATCAGTTGAGTCCTAATGGAGCTTTCCATCTTGCTGCCATTAACATCCGAAAGAAACAACAAGTCTGTCAATTTCATAAATAGCATTGACATCATCAAATGCTTATCCACTAAACAGTCCAGACTCGAAATAAGCACCCGAAAACAGAGTCCTGCCAAAAATCTTTATAGCATTTCCAACTGAAACTCTACAACATCTCAGCTGCAGTTTCCTCATTTTTTTCTATTGATAACATGACACAATGAAAAATCTTGAATTCATTTCGTATAGAGAAGAAGGCACAAGCCAATGCAAATTACACAAATTCAATCTATGTTCTTCAAAAGAAGAAGAAGAGTCAACTGTTGGTGTATTGTCTACACACTATACCATGTCGAATTCTATTCAACAGCGACTTGGAACCTCAAAACACAAATTTTGCAAGTATAAAATTCCTTTGAATTGAGGTACATTTTCTTAAATTCACAAGAAATAACTATGGAAAAAGCCGACTTTAGATCAGAGATGGAGAATCAAAGATGTCTACAACCATGCAACTTTTGGAATTCATCAAAGGGGAAAATAAAAATGAAAAAAATGCATGAGAAATTTTACCAATTTTAAGGAAGACAAGACAGAAAGTGAACAAGCCACTTTGATGCTTCTACAATAGAAGCACTTCTCCCTTCCTCGAGTTCATAAACCCTTTGCACTAAAACAACCCAATATTCACATCAATTATAACACTAATCCTTTCTTAGGTTGTAGCTCAACCACTTGGTAAAGAAAAACATAATGTTCTAATGTATATTGATACAAAGAGAATACTACAAGAAACTATGAAAAAGCTTTGACCACATGGTGCAGAAACTGTACCAGTAGCGGAACAACCTCTTTAGCATATATAGCTAGAAGAACCTGAACAAACGAAAGCAACAAAAATATCAATATAAAAATAAATAAAAATAATTAAAGTGCCTTAACAGATTTGGTTCACAATCATGATATCTTTTTCCCTGATTAAATAAATAAAGATAATTAAAAAAAAATATTCATTTTACAGCCTAAATGCCTTAACAGGAGTGGATGGCCGACATTTTCACAAAATGTCACAAAAAGTGAGCGGAGATAGATAAAACGTCTCCTTAAAAATGTGAAATTAGCTACTTTTTCTTGTAGTGGTAAAACAGTTTAACCGGTAATCAAAATCAATAACTTAAGACATTATCATGCCATTACTTGAAATCAATGATTTGTATGAATAATTCTACATGCATGTCATGCTTACAGTATCTTGAAATACAATATTTTCACTCATAAGCTTACTCAAGTCTATAGCACGGAGGTACAACTAAGAATGTCATCTAGCCACATGCTGGATTTCCGGAAATGCTGCGATAACCTAATATAGTATTACTGCCCCTGGATTATAAATATATATATATATATATGTATATGTATATGTGTGGTGAATGTATGCTCAGTAAGGTCCCATCGGCTACCCATTATTAATATAGGTCAAGTTGGCATACAAAATTAACATAGGAGAACAATTCATACTAAGCAAGAGTGCTATTACTAGGAGTTTACCGAAAAATATTATAACAGGAACAATAATAATTGGCTACCATAAGCCAAGTAAAACATGTAAAAGCATAGAGGGAACTTATTAAGAGTGGATACGGGTGAGAATAGGTAGAATTTCGATCCTGCCTATGTGAATTATAAACCAAACTTCTTGATCATCTCAAAACTTGTAAAAAGATCCTGAAATAAAAGAACGAAAGTATACATTGATAGCCAACGCCCAAACTGGAACAATAGGGGTATATCTCGAGATTATACCAGATAACGCCCTCTTAAGTTGTTTAGGAAGGTGTCCAAGCTCGTCGCCGGCTCAACCGGTGTCAACTATCCTACAGGTTTGTGGATCCACTAATGATACATGCATAAATTTCAAGCGAGACGACAAACAAATTAATGCACTTAAAGATAAGAAGGCACATGCGATTAAGTACACAAGGTCGCCGGACGCAGACATAAATTCTACAAGTCAACCTCACACAGTCACACAGACAAGTTCAAGTGGTGTCAACATCCAGGGTGATCAAATCAAAGATGATCAAGGTGTTCGGGTTCCAAGTAAAGTCCAAGCTCAAGGTGTGGTTTAAGATCTTTTATCCAATATTAGAGGCCCAATGATTCGAGCTAGGAGTAAAAGATGAATAGTGCACTTAATAATCTTATATCAAATAGTGATAAGTCGATAATTAGCATGATTTAATAGTTATTTGCAACAGATTATGAGAGTATTTTATGTGTAGTTTAATCATGTGAATATTTTGGACGAGAAATAATAGAAAAGATAGATTTTTTCAAGATTTTGTCTCAACAAACCATGGATGGTGAGCCGCGGGCTTTAATAGCACATGGTTACATGATTGGAGGAAAGAAGATGGAAGAAGATGACCTTCATCAGACACATAATAGCACGTGATCATGTGAATCAATAAGAGAAGTCTTTAGTTTTATCAACTCACGTGAAATACCGTGTGATCACGCAAGTTGGAAACAAAAAAAGCAAGGAGAGATTGAGCGCTATGTGAGAGGAATCTTTGACCAAGATTATTCTTAAATCACAGAGAAAAAGAATATTTTATTTTATTGTTTAGTCAAAGATATTTTCCTAATTTCTTTTATCAGGATATATTTTAATTTTACCTTTACTTTTACTAGAACATTCTCTATAAATAGGGGTAACCCCTATCAATGAAGAGTAGGTTGTTAGACACTAGTCTTTCGTTTAGAATTTCTTTCTCTTTTCACTTTGTTCTTCTTTTCTTTTCTCCAATTCATAAAATTTTTTGCTTTGTTCTTCAAAATGTTTAGTGGCTAAATTTTCTATTTCTAGTCAAAAAAAATTATTGAAGCCTTGTGTTCTTGCATATGTTAGAACTTTTGCTCTTCATTTTTATAGTTTAAGAAAAAGTTATTTTCTACTTTTATTTTTTTGTTATAATTGTTAGTCATTGCATTGAAGTGTTGGGTAGCTTCGATCTTTGCAGTACAATGAACATTTAATTTAATTGTTAGGAGCTTAATTGGAGTGCTGGTTAGCTTTCAATCCCTCCCAAACAATTTACAGCTAATCAAACTAGACAAGGTTTTGTTAAGTTTGAGAGAGCATTCAAAATAATTTATTACTTGGTTAAATAGTTAAATTATGTTTTGAAAATAAACTAACCACTTTCATTAAAACCCGGGGTGTGTTTAATGTTTTGTGTTAAATCTTTCTTGTTTGGTAAGCATGTTAGAACTATTAGTCCTGTGAGGTTTCGAGAATTTTTTTATTTGTTAACAGTAATTTTCAATGTTTCGATTATTACCTCGACAAAGAAAGATTGGTAATATAAAAGTTTGTACATTGCCATCTTCGGCTTATTCTTGAATTTTTAGTTGTGTATCGAGGATCATTGAGGGAAACAAGGTGGATTAGATTTCTTTGACTAGAGCTTCTTTAACCATTTGATTTTATTCAATCCATTTTTATTGAATTCTTATTATCATAAGATAGAATTAAATCCAACCCCCCAATTTTGTTTCTTATTTGAAAGGGACGAATCCACTGTTCCCTGTGGAGATGATCTTGCTTTTCTATACTACGTTTGTTTGGAAGTAGGATAATATTGTTTGCTGGTTTGACACCTAATCAAATAGTTTGGCCTAGAAGAATGTCAAGTATGGATGTTACAAGCCCAAGATTATTAATTTATTTCAAGGCTCATTTGAGGGAAGAATATTTGGCCCACGGTCCAAGCTTGGAGGGCCGGTCTCATCTCCTAAATTTTAGGAGTTGAAACTCTATCTTTTAAAGATAAGTTCATTTAAATCTTATCACACTTGTGGAAGGATAAAGTTTGGGAAAATCTCTATCTTTTAGAGATAAGATCATATAAACTTTATCACACTCAAGGAAGGATAAGATTTGATATGATTTTCTTTTATCTGTTTTTCATTTTGTTCAAAATAAGAAGTCTATTTATTCATGTATACTCTCAACCGGTTGATGAAGGCTACATCAACATTGGATGCCTATGATTATTCTACAAAGAAGATATTGATAGAGTTGACAATTCACAAAGATTCTTTCAAGATAAGGATAATATTCTTTTAGAGAATATTTCTTTGTATTAAGAGTTTTATTTTAATTAGACTAATGTGTTTTAAGTCTACTAGTCTTTTACGTGTCGCGCGTTGCGCGACCAGTGCACATAAACATTCTTTTGCTCTGTTGTT